TTTTTTTTTATTTTATTAATAGTTTGCCCACCAATAAAAATACTCTGGTTTACTGTAATACACAATTGGGCATGCATTCTTTGCTGTTTTGACATTTTTATTGTCAGAATAGTTGCCTCCAGCCATTCTCGACTGTGTGGGAAAATTGTCATTTGTTTCAGCATTCATAAAAATAAAGTTTATTTTTCACAATGGCCGACTATTTTCAGCAAGCATTTCGAAAGTAGCAATCGGAAGTTTGTTAATGTAAGGACTACATTTCCCTGCGCTCCAATGTACAAGTCATGACTGCGCATGTGCAAGACTAGGAACAACTGCAAGAAAAGACGTACGCGCGGCGCTTGGTTGCATATTTGATTCGTTTGACCAAAAAGTGCAGTGAGAAGGCAGCACGGTAGTCAAATTGTCTACATTTAATGGGGAAAAAAATCGCGTGTTGGAATATTTTAAAGGAAACTTGAAACAGGTACGAGTTTGACTCAAGTGACATTTATTTTTTTAAACATATTTTCATTGTGTATAAAACTGCAAGTCTACGGAGTTGACTTAAACGGAAGCGTGGCTAACCGCCGGCTAACGCTAGCCTCCGCCGTAGTGACGGACTCAGCCGATACGACCACCGTCTTCCCTGCTGCTACCCAAGCTATGGCTCACAGCCTCATTATATTCCGCGTTAGACTCTCGTCACCAACAAAAAACAGAACTTTATCATAAAACGTGCTAATTTTACTCTTGTCAGTTAATCCGAGCGGCGCGCGCCTCTTTAATTTTAGCCGTTAAAAGGAGTTAAAACTCAAACGGCAGCTTCAGACAGTCATTTTGCATTTATTTTGTCACGGAAATCCTGCTTATATCGTTATTATAACCAGCTCGGAGTGTGTAATAATAAGAGTGCCCAGTGACCGGTTCAATCCAGTGATATTACAACTGGCTTTAATTGGCTTAGGAAGGCAGCTGAGCATCGTGGTCAGCTGGGTTTCCCCTTCAGTTCATGGATGATCACACTGTCCCTGCGGCCACCTAAGACATTTACAAACCACAACACCATGATTGTTTCATGTTGTGTTCAAGATTACAGCAGCTGAGTTCTGTAAAAAAAAACCAAGAGGCCTAATGTGATTCATCATACAGGTTAAAGGATAAAAAAATATGAGGTGAGATTGGTCATTGACATCTGACAGCAGTGTCATAATAAAAGGAGATCACTATAAAAGACTGAAGTAAAATCAGTTTTCTTGACTAGAGAATAGTGTGAGAGGGGAAAATCTGAGTTAATCTGTCAAAAATTTGAACAAAATGTCTTTCATCATCCTGCAGAGCTGTTATTATTCAGCTTTGTTGACATTGTTTGGAAACACTAAATTTTTGTTGCAAATCCAGTTAAATTACCTCCAGCATATTTTGGGCAGCTGTATTTCAGAAAGTAAGTGGTCATTGCAGTGGCTACTGAATCCCTCTGCCCCTCTATGCGGTGTGTCAGGTTTGCATGATTGAAAAGACTAGAAAACCACCCATTAAATGTGATCTATTTATTAATTTGACTTCAAACCAAAACGGCCTTAGGGAAACCACAATGAAAATCAGATGTTCCAGTTTCATCTCTCATTGCCTAATGTAGCAGGAACTTCAATAAATGACACCCCATCCTCCCACTCTCATACAACATGCTTTTCTGTCTGAACTTGAAAGGTGCGTGCATTTTTCTTCTTTCAGCTCGTCTCTGTGCACGTTGAAAGGCCAGGGAGTGAGAGGCTGGCAGTGTTAAAAAAGCACAACATGCCTTGCCTCTGCAGAGGGAGAGCCTGCGCTCTCCGGCACAACCGGTTGGAACCGCTCTCTTTTAATAATTAAATTATGGTCCAAGTCTGAGGAAAGAGTAGAAAAACACAAAAACCCGTTTCAGAGTTGTTCACACTTCTTGATGCTTTTCTTCCATAATGCAGCTGTTAATTAGTACTTAGCTTAACACTCAGAGAGCATGGGACGTCAGCGAGCTTCACACCTCGCTCGTTTTAGAGAACTGTCAAGCTGTGGTCCAAGGATGTTACTCTGTACACCATTCACAAGATGCTAAAGGGAGATTTCAACCATTTTGATGTGGGGTTATGCAGACACGTTTTGACCAATTAATATCTTACCTGTTGTAGATAGCACTTTTAACAGTCTCAGTTTGGAGAAATAGAGTTTATTGTATAAACTGTGTCAGCCTCACCCTTACCTCAACAAGACCCGAATTATATTAATCAGAGATATATACAGCTCAGCTGCTGCTGTGAATGAGAAAAACACTAGTTATTGTTATTTATTTATTAGTTATTATTTCACATTGATTTTTGACAGCTGATAGCAAAGATGGTATACTGTACAGCAGGGCTATTCAACTTGCAGCCCGGGGACCAAATCAGGCCCAAGGGTGAGCTCAATTTGGCCCACCAATGGGCTCATTTTTAAATAAAATTAGATTTTAAATAGTAAAACAAACTTTAATAACAATAACTGCTAGATGTCTGCCCCCTGAGCTCTTGGTTTTCAGTGACTGTGCCCCCCTGAGCAATTGAATAGCCCTGCTGTACATTGTTGCCCCAGGTTACTAACTTGAGAGGGTTCTGTGGGAGGTAACTGGAGTACCTGGAGAAAACCCACGCAAGAACAAGGAGAGCACAAAGATCTCAGGTTCAAACTGGAGATTGAACCCAATACCTTCTTGCTGTGAGGCAACAGTGCTAACCACTGAACCATTGTGCTGCCCATATAAATTTTGCCGTTGAACAAAGATATGCTCGTTAAAGTATTTGAACAGTTTTATCGTGTTTACTGGCTCAAATCTGTACACGTTTGTATCGCACGCACAAATATAAAAGACCACCGCAGAAATCAGACCATCACAACGTTCAACTATTGAACCAGAGACACACAAAAAACACAAATAAACATGAAATACCCTTCGACACAGCAAAGACTATCTAGGTACAGACCAGTCTGGGTCATCAGCATCTGAGTTCACAAAATGGCTGATTTATTTCAAGAAAATACCCCCCGCTCCCACATAGCTTTGCTTCAGTGACTCTTTAAAATCTTTGCTGCTAATTTTACTATTTGATTTGAAAAAAGATAGCTAATATTAATCGTTTTACTCATTTACAATGACAGCACTGCTGAACTTCATCTCTAACTCATAGAGTTTGGGTCTCATTGGTGCCATTAGACTGATTGATTGAAATCATCAATTACATAAAATCAAATTCATTTCAAAGCAGATCCAGATTAAAATCCAATTATAATACAATACAACTGGATTTAGTTTAATACCAAATAAAACCATGCTGTGTAAAATTGACAATAATTTAAAGGTTTATAAAATAGTGTTTGCATGAACTTCTTTTAAGACGTGATTTGTTTCAAGACAAAATTTGTTTCTTGGCTCCTCAGCCAAATCATTATCTCGTTATCTGATCACAACCCAACTTCATAGTGGCTGAAATACAACGCTTCGTTTTCTCCACAGACAAACTGATGGAAATGATCATGTGACCTTTGAGAATGTTGCTGGTATTTGAGGAAAGACTTAACAATAAGAAACAGGAAAGCTTTGAGCTGGTACATGAATATTGGCCTTACGAGCAACAGAGGAGAAATTGTTGAACTGATGAATTGATTATTTTCAGAAAAGCACATGACGCTTGTTGCTGGAAAAAAAAATCCGAGCTAAAAGATGAAGTCAAGTTTTTGTTGTTCAGATTCTTCTTTTGCTCTCCTGGTTGTCTAATCATTCCTTCTGTTGCCTACCCCCTCCCCATCACTGTACCCCCTGCTGCCCTGTTTGTGACAATATGTAAAGGCATTTTAGTCAGGGAGTATGTCAGGCAAATTTTAGATTTATTTACTTGAACAGCCTTGGATAAAAAGAGACACGATTTCCTTTACATCACATTTCTCTTTACTCTTTAGGAATGTTGTCTTGTAGCTGCTAGAAGCTGTTTACTACACATTCATATTTAAAGAACGGACCATCTGTGCTGGCATCACTCACCAGACAACTACAGTTCAGTCAGAATCAGGAACAGTTTTGACACAAACACACAAAAAGGTGTTTTTTAATCCTTTCTTTCACATGCTGGTTGGAAGACAGCCAGTTTGCTTTAATGGCGCATTTCAGCAACAAAAGGAGAAGTTGTAGAGGGAGTTGTTACCTCAGCATCAGCTGGGAGATAGCCTAGCTCAGCTTGACTCAGTTCAGCACAGCACTGCTTACTAGTTAGTCCTACCCTTCCCTTACCCTGCTACATCTCCCCCCCACTAACTTCTCCAAGTGAGCTGCCATGGCGTCGGTCCGATTCACCGTGACTCCCACCAAGGCCGAGGACCTCCCAGGGCTGTCGGACACGTCGCCTGACCTCAGCTCCCGTCCGTCCAACCGAGTCCACTTCGGCTCCAGGGAGAGTGTGAATCGAAGCGAGCCGCTCAGCGAAGCAGGTGTGACCGTCGCAGCAGGAGGAGGGGCCGAATCACCCGACCACTGCAGCATAGAGCAAGGTAAAGAACACACTCGTTCACACAGCTTGAATGTGCTGACGATGTGTCTCAGAATGAAGTCTGAAAGTCTGTTTTTATATTTCTGACAAAAGAACTGACAGAAGTGATTTGTGCACTCCACTTGCCTCAAGTATGAACGGTGTGAACGTACAGAAAGGTTGCCTGCACACGTCAGGATGGATCAAAATGAACGCACACTTCTGACCTGCAGTGAGAATGTTCTTACCGCCACGCAAATGTTTTCTAGTATCAAACTACAAAGGGTTGAAACTCGCCTAAATATGCAGAAATTTGACTTCGTTTGTTTCTCTGAACTTTAAGGTGCAGTGCTTTTTATGAGTTTGAACATTTATGGTTTAAATTCAAATGAGGAAGCTGACCCACATTTAACCACATACAACACAACATGTAACACACGTGAACAATGATCAACACAACCTCACTCCTGCGTGAACCGTAAAGTTTCTTATATGTTTGTCACATGTAGTAGTAAACACACGTCAGTGATCGCACGCCTTTGAGACACGCTGGAGTATAAAATGTGTGTGAGTTATCTAAGAGGAACTTCATTCTCATTAGCTATGTTTACATGGACATAAGTAATTGGATCAAATGGCCATTCGGAATAAAAATGTGTCATGTAAACGCCCCATTCGGATAATTTTTTGTTGATTCAGCTCCATCTGAATTAATATGTAATCAGAATGAGAGGGGTGGTTTATGCCGATTCATAATCTGAACGGTGTGCATGTAAACACTTAATCTGATCATTTTATTCCGATTGTGAAAATTTGACCTGACTGTGCATGTACTGTGTGTCAGCCTCACGTATTTCTGCCTGGGTAGATGCTAATATGTCGTGGAAGTAAAACTGGTCGGTGAGCGACAACATTTCTACTAGAAACTTTGAAAGAGCTCAAAATGATCTGTATCACCTGTAGCTCTGTCAGGGAGTGCAGTAACGTCTCCACCTTCATTAAAACCTGATGTGGGTCCATTTTGGGCACTCAGGTTTGTTTACGTTCATCACGAAAGTAGAACTTCTTCTGTGTTTTTTTTAAGGAGAGTTTACCACCCTGCGCATGTCAGTACTTCTATTCTGAATAAAAACCCGCTGCATGTAAACACTCGTCGTGAACGAATTGAGCCTATGTAAACGATACATTTGGACTATTTATAATCTAGGGATGCACAATATTATCTGAATGGTATCGATATTGGGCGATATTCACATTAAAGTTCAATATCAGACATCGGCCGTTCCATCAAAATAACTCACCGATATAAAAGACTCTGTTTTTGTACGACAACCCAGTGACAAGGATGTCTGCAGTGGCAGCACAACGTGATGACGTCACTCACGCCTACCTGATCTGATCATGGCGGAGAGGAAAATTCAAAATGCCAGCAGTGTGGAAGTTTTTCTTTCGTTGAGAATGTCAGATTCCGAAGATTTATGGACTACATTGAGCCTCGCTACATCGTCCCCAGTCAGAGATATTTTTCTGAAGTAGCCTTACCCGAGTTACAAGCCGTCATTTCCGACGTCATTGAGAAGCTAATAGCTGATAGCACTTGGGTGAGTTTTACCACAGACATTTGGACGTCAAGTGTTAGCCCTGTTAGCATGATTAGTCTTACAGCACAATGGATAGACAAAAACTTTGAACTTAAAAAGTCTGTCCTTCATGCACAGAGTGCAGAGGATCCCACACTGCAGCTAGAAACCTGGAACAAGCCTCCACAACTGAGACAGCATCACAGCTGACTAATGCTAATAAATAACATTTAACACTTTTCATTTAATATAAGTTAAAGGGCTATACACATCATATGGATGTTACTGAATATATGTCACCAGCTCTTACAGCTGTTACACAATTTTTGTAGCAAATAAGCCTAAATAAGATGCTATGTTCTGACAACGGAACGTATATAAAATATCGGGTATCGGTCAAATTATTTTTAACATTGGCATATCGGATATTGGCCAAAAATCCAATATCGTGCATTCCTAATTTAATCCAAATACATTTCAGTCCGCTCAAAGAATTTTGCACATGTTAACACGACTACTGAGAAGAAAACAGTGTCTGATCAGCAGATTAATTCAGAACAACTCACCCGTGATGATTCTTCAGGTTGACAATGTGCAGACAATAACACATGTCCATAAATAGCAGTGTAGAGTCATGTGTAACTGTGGAACAGTGACTGCTGTGGTGCTGCAGGAGGACATCACAAGAGGAATTTGGAGGAAATGTATTTTGGGGTTTCACACCAACCAAATTCCACTCGGGTATTTCACAGTTATTCCTGAGCCGTGCCACGCCAGCTGTATGGAACCCCTGACCCATGTGATGCCCAGATATATTAAATTCCCTACACCGTGGTGGAAACAGTCCGTTAATGCTCAGCGACACTTTTCTTCACAGCAGCTATGGTTCAAGTTGTACCAGGCCCCTGGATGTGTCTGTGTTTACAGAGTTCATGTTATTAAACACTTGCATAAAGTTGGAAAAGCCCCATAAGTGCAGCACCAACAGGTCAGCTCCCCCTGTTCAGATGATTCAATGACAGCTGAAGCTTCACACACAGTGCATGGGTGGCCAACACGTTTTTACACTGAGGAGCATCTGTCACTCACATTCCACTGAATTCCTCATTTTCCTGCAACCAGACATCATTTTTGACCATGCAGAGATGAAAATACATGCTGGACATACAGTATTTACATCTATTTGACATATTTAAATGGAGGTGTGTCAGTTTCACTTTTGTTGGGATGTATGAAGGAGAGGTGAGCAGAAACACTGTTTGAGACGTGTGAATATTTCTATGTTCTCCGTGTCCCTACACCAACTTTGAGTGTAAAAGCTGCATACACTTTCATACATGAGACCCCTGGTCCGTCCTCTTCTCTACGGTCATGCTTTTTAGATTACCATTTAATCTACAGCTCTAATCTGTTATTTTGACACATCACAGATTATAAGACCTTTTCATGGAAAAGATTTGTTATTTTACCACAAAGTCAATCCCCTGATTAGGCTGTTTCTGCCTGTTCATAAATCACCAGTCAGGCCACGTCCCACCATGTTGTGACTTCTTTATAAATCAAGCTGGTTGGAACATGACAGATCTGTACTGGTTTTTACTTTTTCAGCTACAGTATATAGAGTTTTTTTTTTTTTTTTTTTTGTGCTACATTTATGTGCACGTAACAAACAGATATAAATAAATGTTGGTGTGATGGGTGTAACATTACTGAGGATTTGTAATAAATGTTGACGTTTATTATTTGCAGTGTCCTTTTTTAGATTCTTGTGAATCTTTCTGTTTTTAAAACCTAGATTAAATTCAGAGCTTTCATTTATGCTTTTTTAAAATTTGTATGTTAAGCTGTGCGCTAGACAAGGTTCATGGAAATGACTGAGGTCTCAAAAATGATTTTCCAAGAGTTTTATTCTTACTTGAGACGTTTTATTCTTTTTTTGACGAGTTGGCTAAATAAGGAGATGGAAACACTTTTATGAATCATAGTGGACTGTTGAAACAAATGTTGACATTTTAAGTTTAGACTTTAACCTTAGTTCTGTTTGTCATGAGTGGTTTGTCACTAGACTCAAACAAGGGCTCTCTTCTTCTGTCACTTCAGGATCTCATAGGAGCAGAAATTTTATTTTCTGAGGAGACTTTCGTTGTCTTTTAGTCAGTCTGCTGTGCTCAGTCATGGTTCAGAACCAGGGTTGATTATGTTCAAGTGTAGATATTACAATGACACAGTTCATCCAAGGGTCTGGCTCATGGTTTCTACAGAGATACGTGTGTAATAACGTAATGGCTGTTTCTTTTTTATAAACATTTAAAAAATTCCTGGGAGTGAACAAGAGGAGTTTCCTCAGGGTTTATGCAACAGTGTGAGCCAGGGTTCAACTTCACCATTACTGTGGTGAACAGCTGTTGAAAACAATGCTAGTGTGAGCATAGTTTGGCTTTCACTTCCCTCTCTTCTGTGGCTGTCCCACCCATAGAATAGATGCAATCGTTCTGCTTTATTAAATGGTAGCTTCCAGCTGAAAACACTGTATCTTGTTACGGTAACTAGTGTATTTTCCAGTGTATAAGTCGCTCCGGAGTATCAGTCAATAAAAACATCATGAAGAGGAAAATA